GTGTGTGTCTGTCTATCTGTCTGTGGTAAAATGCTGATAAGGGGAGAGTGCATTTAAATCCCCTAGAAATCTCTGCTGTTCTGACACTCGGCCTTCTCCATGGTCATTCTGAGGGGAAATTCCTTCTTTAGGAGACTGACTGAAGCGTCCGCCCCCGGAGCCACTGGGAAGTGTCCCTGGAGTGGCTTGCCAATTGAGTACACGTGACGGTGACCCTGTGCCCCCATACATCTAGAATGATTGTCTTTATTATCTCACTAAAACCTTCCAAAAGGCTGTGGGGTGAGCACGACAGGAGCACGTTTATACACGTTATTCAGATGAGAATGTAGACTCCTGGCCAATGTCCATCCTAGAGCTGAGACAATCCACGTTCTCTGACGCTGCAGGAAATGGCATTTCCCTGGTCCACCAGCACTGTCCGCTATAGTTGGTGTCCGTTTTCAGGGGCTGTTGTACACTACCACAGATTTTTCTTTCCTCATAGTTTTGTGGGTCGAAGCCGAAGATCAAGTTGTTGACAGAGTTCTTATCTTCCAAGCCCTCTCCTTGGCTTGCAGATGGTGGCCATCTTCTTTCAAAAGGCCTTCCTTCTGTGAACTTCTGTGTCATAATGTCTTTCTCCTTCTCCTTCCTCTTCAGGCCCAGCCTTATGTATCCCAGGCTACCCTCAAACCAGAAATGTCCTTAAACCCCAATTCTCCTCCCTTCACCTTTCAAGTTCTAAACTGCCAGCCGGTTTATCTGGTGCTGGGAATTGAACCCAGGGCCTCTGCGTGCTAGGCAAGCACTCCACCAACTGAACTACCTCCAAGCCTGTAATCAACTTATTCTTACAAGGACAGCACTCATATTGGACTAGAGCCACCTTAATGATCTCATTTTAACTTAATTACTATTTCCAAGGTCCCAACTCCAAATATAGTCACATTCTAAGGCACAGATTTGTAGGGAAACATAGTTGAGCCCACAGCAGTGGCCCTTGTGTGCAGTTCCCTGGGAACCCGATTCTTGCGACTGGTACCACAGTTCCAGAGAGATCCTTTGAGGAAAGTCAAGTAGCTAGCTGACATCTTCCTGCTCCCTGCCCCACCCTCCTTTGGAGACAGCAGCAAAGCTGTCCCCAAACTTCCTGTGTGGATGACTTGGAACTTCTGTACTTCCTGACCGCACTTTCTAGATGCTGGGATGATACGTGTGCACCACCGTCCCCGGTTTATGCTGAGTAGTGGGTCAAACCTAGGGAAGGCGCCCTTCATGCTAGGCAAGGATGCTCCAGCTGAACTATTATTACACCTCTGCAGGCCCTCACCTTCCATTTTATTTTTATTTATTTATTTATTTATTTATTTATTTATTTATTTGCGTAGTTGATTGGGGGCCTGGTCCTGTCAGTGGGGATCTACGCAGAGGTGGAGCGGCAGAAATACAAAACCCTGGAGAGCGCCTTCCTGGCCCCAGCCATCATTCTTATCCTCCTGGGTGTAGTCATGTTCATTGTCTCCTTCATCGGGGTGCTGGCTTCCCTCCGGGACAACCTGTGCCTTCTCCAGTCGGTAAGTGGTTCCTCCCAGCCCCAGGATGAAGGGAGCGGTTCTTGGTGTCTGAAGAGCCTGTTCCTCTGCTCTGGCCAGCTCTGTTCCTTCTATCTTTCACATGATCCAGCTGCCCAAGAACATTTCCTGAATCAGACACTGTAGCACAGTGGTCGGGGTCCACCCCAGCTGCCTCACATCAGCATGTATGCATGTCGGGCTTGGATACTTCTGTCACTGGAATGCTGTGGTCTGTCTCCACTCCCAGCTGTTGAAATGACGGTCAGCTGAGAGCAAGCAAAGCCAGGGGATGAGGTGATGACTCATCGGCTCATGCAGCCAGCAAACCTCTGGGGGCCAAGGATCAGGGTACCACTAGGCAAGGCTGGGCGGTCTGTTTTCCCTCGTCCAGCAAACAGACTGCTCCTGCCTCCCATCTTCAGGCACAGAATCTTTATTGCTTTTGAGCCCAGGGCATCTTTCTTGGACACTCTGGCCAGAGTCCCAGCACACTGGAGTGCCTGGCTCACATCACATGTCCATCAGGTGGAGTGTTGTGGTCAACACAACCCCTGTCTATAGCTGAGAGATGACACCCCAATCCTGGGGACACTGGGTGCGAAGGCCCATATCTTCTGACGTGTATGTCTTCACCTCACTACCCCCACCATCCCTCTAATGGGGGTTGCTTTACAGTCACACACAGCAGGGTACTGCCCAAGGCTGGAAGTTGCTAGAATCCATTTGGTCAATAGCTTTTCTTGGATAAGGGAATGGAGTGTGTGTCCTTTAAACTTAAGGTACCCCCTCTATACTTGGTTGAGTAGGAAGCTACTTCTGAGCTATTTGGGGGACAGTGGAGACTCGGGGACTGGAAGTGCTTGCCAGGTCTTGCTCCCTTTGGCTGTGTTAGAGGGAGAAAAATCACTCTGATTGCGGGGAGAAGCCTACTGTTAATCTAGACCCCACTGAGGACCCCAGGACAAACATGAAGAGTTTCTGCCTGAGCACTCTCTAGATTCAAGCCTTCTCAAGCACAGTCCTGTGTTCTCTAGGAGGGGCAACAAGGCCCAGTCAGGGAGGACTACCACCTGCAGCAAGGCCTAGTCAGGGAGGACTACCACCTTATTGTGCTTGATCTTAGCACAGGCAAGCCTTTCCCTGATTCCCCTGATGAATCACTGAATCTTGCCTTCCAGTTCATGTATATCCTGGGGATCTGCCTCATAATGGAGCTTATCGGTGGCATCGTGGCTTTGATCTTCCGGAACCAGGTAGGCCTGTGAGTTCATCATCAGCCGTGTGTGTCTTGAGCACCCACTGTGTGTGTCTTGGGCTTTACCCAGGGTGCTTCTGTGGGCAAGGTAGATAGATGGTTTCTTTGAAGTAACTAAGAAAATGACGATGGGTGACCGGGGACTGCCCAGTCCATGCAGTGCCGTATCGTGGAAAGGGGCTGGGTGAGCAGGGGTGGGCGGAACCACTGGGCTGGCTGGCACAGTGTGGATTGGAGTCTGTCCTCCTGGTAGGTAAGGTGTAGGGAGACAGACAGAAGGTGAGGTTGGAAGGCTGGCTTGGGGAGTAGATAGATCCTCAGAGGCTATGGGTTAGGTGTCCTAGGTAACTTTGAAAGGCAGTGAGCTGCTAGAGAGCTGTGTGCAGGGAAGGACATGACCTGACTCCCATCTTGCTCCAGTTGCCAAGTGGGGAACAGGCAGTAGGGAAGTAAGGGTGACATGGGAGGCTGGTTGGTAGGCTGTGACAGTCATCTGGAGGAAAAGGGATGGTGGCTCAGATGTAAGTGGAGACAAACGTCTTCAGGTCTGACATAGTGGGATTTGATGTGTGTTTTGGGCCATTGTACTACATATAGGATTCAGGGAAGGGACAAGTTGAGTGAGTGATACCTGAAACCCAAGGCCCGGCAGTTTCTATAGACCCACACAAGCCTCCCAGCTCCAGGTCCCCAGTGCCTTCACTGCAGTCTACACTCAGTACCTCTCACTAGCTGTGAAGCCTTGGCCGTGTCACATGACTTCTCTGACTCTGAGTACTCACTCTCCGAGCTTAGGGTGAAGATGGGGGTGGAAGGGCGAATGTGATGAACAGGGCATGGTTCAGGCATGCACTAGACCCTCCTCAGCTCTCTTGTCCGAGATCCCATTAGTGATGGTGTGTAGCTGTCTTCTGACTCAGGGTACCGTCTTTTTCCTTGGGATGCTGGGGTGGGATCCAGAGCCCTGCACATGCTAGGCAAGTGTTCTGCCACTGAGCTGCACACTACACTTTGGCTTTTCTCCTGCTATTTTCTTCCTCTGCCTTCTTCCTCATTGGGTGTTATAGGTAGGGCTTGGTCCCTGACCTTCCAGGTACTGTTAAGACTATGTCTCAGCAGGAGGCAGAGGTGGGTAGATAGATCTCTATGAGTTCAAGGCCAGCCTGGTCTACATGGTCTAGCCAGTTCCAGGACAGCCGGGGCTATGTAGAAAGACCCTGTCTCAGAACAGTGAGACTGTTGCTGAATCATGCAACTTGTCAGAAGTGGACTTCAAGTCACCAGTTACTGTCCCAAACCCTCAAAGAGCACCATGTCTGATTCCTACTCCATTCCGCATTGGCTTGGTGGTGTTCTGAACATGAACAGTGGGGACCCAACCCTAAGCAAGTGTAACCCACCCAGGACACCTCAAGGTCTGCTTCCTAATGGGTGAGTTCCAAGGGTTTACGGGGAGAGAGCTGGTTCCCACTGTATTTATGGGAGTCATCAATGCCCAGAGGAGTTAAAAAGCCCTTCAAAGAACAGAAATGTGTGTGTGTGTGTGTGTGTGTGTGTGTATGTGTGTGTGTGTGCGTTGTTTTCTGAGACAGGGTCTCTATAGTCTGAAGGCCTCAAACTAGCTATATAGCCTACTGCCTGCATCTCCCAAGTGCCAGGGCTACAGATGTGTGTCACCCGCCCCACCCCCCAGGCTCCTGTAGTCGTTTTTTTGTTTTTCCTTTCTGCTTTTTCAGACCATCTATTTTGAGCTGGTACTGGTTCATTCCCCCAGCAGTCTTGAGTAGAGAGAGGTATTTATTCCAGTTGTATATAGGTATGTTTTTCTGTGTGGTCAGCATGGCTCTCAGTTGACCGGTGGCCTTGCAGGGGTCTAGGTTAGCATTTCCTGGCTGAGCCCCAGGGCCAGCTCATGGTCAGTACCATTCATGGCTTTAATTAAACCTGTCTCTTCCGAGCAAGCTAGTCCTGGTTCCAACATGCCTCTCCAAGGCTGTCAGATTTGTCATTTCCCAGTGTTTTGTAGGTCAACTGTGGCCATGACATCACTTCCTTCTTCTAAATGATGGACTTGAGCTGAGTGAAGGCCGCTGCCTCTGGAGCCTCTTGGGACCTTCAGTCCTCACAGCTCAGGAAGCCAAGCCCTGGGTCATCCACACACCCTGTGGGCTTCATGGCCCATGAAATGTGTGCTTCATAGTATGGAAAAAAGATCTGGACTATCCTTAAACTACTTGGTAAATTTGAGGCTAACCTCAACTATTTGAAATCCTGTCCCAAAACTAAACAAAACATGCCAAAGGCCAGTATATAACTGGTAGTGTATAACTAATCCTAGCACTCAGGAGGTAGAGGCAGGTAGATCTCTGTGAGTTCAAGGCCAGCTTAGTTTACATGGTCTAGCCAGTTCCAGGACAGCCGGGGCTATGTAGAAAGACCCTGTCTCAGAACAGTGAGACTGTTGCTCACTGTTCCAGAACAGCCAGGAAAACAGTCAGCTACAAAGAAAGACTCTGTCTCAAAAACAAAACAGAAAACAACAAACAACAACAACGAACAATGCCAAAGTGATTGTAAAGGATGCCGAAGAGATGTTTGGGAGAAGGCAGCCCTAGCTTTTAGCACTTCTCCCAGTGCCCATCCCTACAGGACCACCCGGCTAATCCATTGTGTAATCCTTCGGATCTCATCGACATGGGATGTTCAGTTCTCCGAACTGTCCCTTTGGGTCATTATGGAGACCACTGTGTAGGCATGACTGCTCATAAGCAGGTGGTGGAAGCCTGTCTGGAGGTTCTTCAGCATTCTCTTGTGGGTTTGCCATAGAATCCTCTGGAATGACACAGCACACACACGGTTCCAGGAGCAGCGCAGGTTTGCAGCAGCCAAAACAACTCCAAGAGTCATCTCATTGAACTAGCCAAGACTGTCTGACAGCTCCCATGTCTGGTCAGGGAGGTTCCCTTAGGGCCTTCCCCCTAACAGGGGTACTGTAGCTTCACAGATGGAAAGATGGTTCTCATAGGGGTGTATGGAGTTTCCTAGTCTATTGGTCTATCTTGGTGGGGCCAGCACATACTTCAGATACTAGCAAGACTTAGCAGGGGAGGGAGAACACATTAGAGAGAGAAGGATAGATAGATAGATAGATTGATAGATAGATAGATAGACAGACAGACAGATAGATAGATAGAAAACCCCACAGGCTACCAGCCTACCCTGACCACTGTGCTCCCGCCGTCATCTACCCCATGGCTTGCCCTGAGGGAAGGGACTCCATGGATATCTAGAATGGCTGAGGTAGGAAGGGAGGGGTCAGGGTGAGGCAGCTCAGTATCCCCAGTGCTGGGAGAGAGGAAAGAAGCTGTTCACATCACATGTCCACCCTCATGGCCTAGGCAGGTCCCTAACCCTGGTGTCACTCACATGCCTGGCTCCACCAATGAAGCCCTGCAGTGCATCGTTCAGGGCCATGAGCTCATTCCCTTGCCCCCCTTGGGTGCCAGACAGACCTCGCCCTGGTGTCCTGTTTCTTATTCATCCCCACCCCACCCTAGCCAGCTGGCCTGTCACCACATCTCCCAGAGGAACAGGCAGGCAAGGGTTAGGTGGGAAGTGAGGGTAAGATTTGGTTGGTCCTTGTTCTGCCTATGCCGTGTGGCTCACCCCCTACCCCGGGGTCCAGACCTTCCAAGGGCTGTGTGCTGTGACTTCAGAGCCTCTTGTAGAAGCCTGTGGCTTCTTCTTCCTCTTGGGGTCCATGCTGCTTCTGGTCATGATCAGAAGTGTGGGGGAGGGGAGGTCCTCCAGGCTCTCAAGTCAGGCTCGGCCCTCACCTCACTTAGTAGTGCGAATCTCAAGAAGAGGCAGCCACACGTGAGCCTTGGGCTTCTTATCGTGTAACCTGGAGTGGGTTAAGCTGGCATCTTGGTCAGCTGGGGAACCTTGGATAAGACATATTGATCCCAGGGCTGTGAGTGTCTCATAAAATCTCCAGAATGCTGGTACTAGGGGCTCCTGCTCTGGCAGGAGGTCTTTGGGCAAGCAGTGGGCCTTAGGCCCCTGGGGACTGAGCTTCCTCTGTGAATGTGTGAAATGGCAGCCCGAGGGATCCTTTTCCTGCATGCGCGGAGATGTCTCTGTTACCGGGACCTACCATGTGCCTAGCATCCATGAACACTTTCAGGGGTTCAAACTCCTGGCGCCCCAGAAGTATTTGTGGATGAGGGAAGGAGCCTTGGACATAAAAGAAGCGTTTCAGGCCTGGTGGCAGCAAGGACTAAGTCCTTACCCATGAGATTTAATGGCCCCTCTTAGCTTTATCTCTAATGCTTAGATCTGGAAGGTCCCCTGGGTTGTTTCACCAATGGGAAACTAAGCCCTAACAGGGCCTGGAAGCTGGCCCCTGCCATCCCAGTGTACCTCATGACGCCTCCCCCAGGAATTGTCTGGCTCCTCTGTCCTGTACCAGAGCCAAGAATGCCCTTTGTCCTCAGTCTCTGTTGGTACCCTGCCTCTGCTCTGAAAGCTCCAATTGTCACAACAAGCCTGTGGCTGTGCTGCCCACTCTCCCACCCCAGCCATGCCTGCTGTGGAGCCTTTGTATTCCAGGGACCTCAGCACAACAACCTGCTGTTGATCCCGAGAGTCCAGCGTGACTGGGAGAGGTTGGCATTCCGGTCTTTTCCGGGTAGAGAGTGACTGTGCCCAAACAGGGAGGAGACTGTGTGGCCTGAGGGTCAGAGCACTAAGTGATGAAAAGAGGCCCATGTAGGGGGCCAGGGGACCTGGATTCCAGTCCTGACCAGCCTGCTCTATAACCCATGGCAGTCTGACCTCTGTCTCCCCTTTCTCCCAGCCCCATAGTCCTCTTCCCCTGGGATCTCAGTTTCCTTTGTCATAGGCAAGAGTTTGGGTGATGAGAGTGTGGCGAAGGGACTGGAGGACCAAAGGAAGATTCTAGCTCAGGCCTGTTGCTGGGCAGGGGAGAGAATACATGCCAGGAATCAGAAGCGTTGAGGCCCAGCTCCAGGATACTGCTTCAGAGCTGGAGTCTGGCAGGTGGGCCTCTCAGGGCCTGGACCTTGGAAGCCTAGGAAATACCTGTGGGCTAGGCAGTCTCGGATATTCAGGGTGGGGAGTGGAGGGGACCTTCTCCTCAGGTAGGTGGGAACTGTTGGGCATGCCTCTGGACTTCTAGAATAATCTGAACCTAGCCTCTGATGTGTGCTCCTTTTCCTTGGCGATTTTTCCTTCTGCATAGACCATTGACTTTCTGAATGACAACATCCGGAGAGGAATTGAGAACTACTATGATGACCTGGACTTCAAGAACATCATGGACTTTGTTCAGAAGAAGGTGACATGGGGAGCATGGGGTCAGAGTGGTACCTCCAGGACCTTTGCCCCAGATCAGAGCCTCTGTTCCAGAGAGTGGGGTGAAGGGCCAGGTGACCTGTTCATTCCCAGTGCAGGTGGCTGGGCTATGGATGGCCCATGGGGTTTCCATGGGGAAACAACTCACAAGGCCAGATGTCACTCTGTCCACTTTGCAGGGATCCAGGGCCCACCCTGGGGTAACAGAGATCTCCTTTTCTCACAACTGGCTGGCCTTCCCTCAGTGTCCATCCTACTGGACTCGGTCCCTCTAGTGTGGAGAGCTTACTTTAGCAAAGGTGGAAAAAAAAAATTCTCTTCTAATCCCAGCTTCCCCGATGGACACAGGACAAGACTCTTCCATCACTCTTACACATCTTTGAATGTGATGATGATTGTGTGTCCTCTTGGGACACTGTCCCTCTCCCAGAGGCCCAGCCCAGTATGTGGGTGCAATAGTCACACCTGAAGCAGGGCCACCCTTTCCTGGGGCTTGCCTGCTTCCCTCTTTGGCTTGAGGCCTGAGTTTCTTGTCTGCACTATGGGGCCAATTCTGTTCTCTCCCCAAGCTGTGGCTGAGACTCCTTCAGCTTTTCTGACATGTGTAGAGCAGAGCCAGTGTAATGGGGTCACCCTCATTCACTGGATGGGGACAGTGATATTGGAGGACCACTGGCTCCCCTGAACCGGGCAGTTGGGTGTTCCTGGTTCCCTGTGTGGCCTTTTGGCTCTGTGCTTCTCTGTAGGAGAAACAGGTGCAGCTTCTGGGAGATTGTTTCCTGCCATCAACGCCTGCCAGGCCTGCCAGGCCTGCCAGCCCAGGCTGGGAGAGCCGAGTCATTCTCCTGTGGATGCTTAGCTGGCTCGGGGATTTAATTTCTCCCTGGGTGGGGGTGGGAGGTGACTAATGCTCACTGGGCCTTGTGCAGAATGCTGCCTGCCTGCAGAGCCTGTGTGCCTCTGCCTGCAGAGCCACACAGAGCTAGCCTCGCTCTTTCTAGCAGACAAGCATCCGAGGCCCAGAGAGGCTGATCACCTTGCCCGTGGTTACACGCCTGGAGCAGTGATGTGAGGATTTGAATGTGTATCTGTCCAGCAGCAGAACAAATGTCCCTTGTACAGCACTGCAGATAAGCAGCTGTGGATCCCGAGGAAGGCCCGGTGGCTGACAGGGCACTGTGGAGCCTTGACAAGGGGGCCCAGTGATGTCTACCTGGGCTCCTACCACATGATCCTTCAGCTTCTACTCCAGGAACACAGGCCCAGACCCCTGTTTGCTCAGCTAATGGGTCTTTTCACATTTGGTTTCTTTTCCCTGAACTTCATTTCCTCTGCTCACTGGCGTTTCCACCGGCGGCTGGCCTACAGCCTTGCTTCTGCACAGCGCCTTTGCACATACATGTTGACCGCCTTTTCCTTGTTCATGTTTCAGATGTCATGTCCTCTCCTTCGAGCAGCCTTTCCTGTCCTCCCAACATAAAGCCACCCCTCCCCCCACTTCTCTGTGCCCAGGTACATAGCACCCCTTCCTGGTCACCCCCTCCTCCAGGTGGTTTTGTTTGTTTGTCGTTTTTGGTTTTTGAGAGAGTCTTACACTGTAGCCTAAGCTGTCCTAGAACTCACTATGTAGTACAGGTTGGCTTCAAACTTGTACCATTCCTCCTGCTGGGATTCCAGGCATGCCTGCATGCTTGGCTGTGGCTCTCATCATTTAGCCAGCAGGTCTGTATCCCAAGTGATTTTACTTTGTCTGTGCAGAGCCCAGGAGGAAGCCATCTGGCTAGTCTCTGCTTAACTGTTCTCTGCTGTGCCCTACAAACCCCTCCCCTGCCACCAAGCATGGTCCTGGTACAGAAAAGAGAGGAGGGATGAGGGGGACTAAGGAGAGAGCCTATGATAGTTTATTTAGGTTTCCAAGGTCAGGATGGAGCAGGGCTTCCACAGGACATGGTCTCTGAGGCTATCTTCTCCAGCTAGACCCCTACCTCAGGGACTTGAAGATGGAGGAGAAGATGCAGACCAATTCCAGGGACAGATTCCCTTTCCAGTGTCTAGTCACCACCTGGTGTCCAATTGAAGTAGTCCAGCCTTACCTTGCATGCCTCTCCAGGGTGGAGAGCTCATCCCCTTTTGGATGGCCATGCCTAACACACTATGGCTTCATGAGGCCTTGGAACTTCCACCCCGCCCCAGCCTCATGAGGCCCTGTCACTCCCACCCCCACCCTCCCCTCCCCTGTCACAGGCCTTATCAGCATCCTCTCTCAGCAGTGCTTCCTGCCATCCGACCCTGGCCTTGGTAATGACTGCAGATCGTTGTGCTTTCCTCCTCAGTTCAAGTGCTGTGGCGGGGAGGACTACAGAGACTGGAGCAAAAACCAGTACCACGACTGTAGCGCCCCTGGACCCCTGGCCTGCGGGGTGCCCTACACCTGCTGCATCAGGAACACGGTAACCGCATGGGTGCTGGGTGCGGGATCACCTGTCTGGTCACACTGCTCTCATTCTGCCCATGTGGAGCAGGCAGTGGGAATGGGCAGGAGGTAGTGGTCAGTGCTCCTGCTTTCCTTAGCCCAGGGGCTCTGGCAAAGGGGAGCAGGGTGGGCAGCTTCCTCTGAGAGTGTGTCAGTAAGCATCGCTCAAGTGTGTGCATGCCCTGGCCCAGGCTCTTACAGCAGCCTTGGGGAGGCCAGGGGTACTGTTACTTTACCCACTTTAGAAGACTTGCCCAAGCTTGGCAGGGCTAGCCTGGAATGCACCTGTGTCAGGCTAACAGCGGGCCAGGCACTGAGCAGGGGCAGCCAGTTCCACCCTGTTGGCTGTAGGCAGAGGACAGTGCAGGCGTGGTGAGTACCAGCAGCAGAACTGTGGCCAGAAGGGACATGGTGATGTAAATGCCAGCCTCCACCTTTCCCCAGCAGGAGTCTCTCAGTCACTTCCCCAGTCATCTGGGATGCTGAGTTGTGAGGTCACTGCTCCATTGGTCCTGATGTGTGACAAGTATGTCAGGAACTGCCCAGTTTCTGGACTGGAGCAGAAAAAACAAAAAAACAAAAAAACACCAAATCAGCCTGACAGTTTCTCCCCGCCCCCCCCCCCACACACACACCCTCATGAAAGTCTCCCGTTGATGGTTTCAACAGCTGTGCCTACCAGCCCAGGCTGTAACCATGGAAATGGAGTGGCTGTGGGCAGGGCTGCACCCAAAGTCTGGAACAGTGCCAAATGAACTTGCCCTGTGAAAGGCGGGGCTGGGGGACTTTGGAAACCCCAGCTGCTGTTTTAGGGGAGACCTCTGAGCCAAGTGAGTGCTGTGGAAGAATCCCAGGGTTTGCAGAGAACTGCAAAAGGTGACCCTGGACTTCATCACCCGTGGGTGCACTCTGGGTGTCCAGGATGAGTTGTGGAGACCCAGTGTGTCTTCCTTCATTTGCTCATTCATTCAACAATCCTTGGTTGAAGACCTACTGTGTGCCAGATGTATTGCTAGGCTCCGGAGGAACTGCAGGCACACAGAGAAGTCTCTGCCTGAATGGGAATGACATAGTGAGGGGACCTGACAAAATAAGTGAGTGTTAGAAGGAGACACTAAGTAACAATCAGGGATGCCACAGCTTTAGATGCAGCGAGGGCTACACAAGCGTTTTGGGAGAGAGGGATTTCTGGGAGAGGGGTTTGTGTTTGCGAAACAGCTGGAAGGCCTGTGTGACCAGAGCAGACTGAGATCAGCAGGGAGTAGGGGAGGTTTGAGAAGGTACCCTGAAGACCACAGGCTGGGACTGATGTCCTCATGAGTGACAAAAGTCAGGCCTGACGTGCTGGCAGCAAACAGGAGGTGGAGCAAGGGGTTCTGAGAGATGAACCGCTGCTGGAGGGCAGGCTGCTGCACACACATAAACGAGCCCATGCAGGAGGGGAGGGTGGGCGCTGTGAGCAGTGGTGGAGGTTTGGTGCAGGTTGGGTGGAAGTCTCGGTTAAATCTATATATACCATCCTTCCAAGTTGATTCATGCTGCTGTGGCAAAGGAGCCAGGCCCTCACACTAGTATGTCCACTAGGCATCACGCAGTCTGCCTCTGGCTGCCCAGTGAGGTCTCTCTTGCCGCCCCCGTCTTAGCTACATCATTTCCTAGTCATGTCCATCTCCTTATCTCTAGGCTACCAGTGCTGAGGCGGGCCTTCGCTTTGTCCACTCTGCCTCAAGTCCCTAAAGTGGTGACTGGCATGCAGCAAATGCCAATTAACATTTGTTCAGTGAGTGAATGGCTGACCCTTCCCATCGGAGTCAGTGCCATGTGAGCGCTGGGCACTGTGGATCCGAGGGTCTTAACTGAGAAAGGTTATTTTATGCACACACCAAGCCCTGCTGCTTAGAATGACCTGATGACATCTGGAACTGGGGGCATAAGCAGTGTCACACTGGCCAGAGCCCTTCCATGTATGTGTCCCTGGGACAGCACTTTACCTCGTGTGTATCTCATATGTGACACAGGGCACATGGGGCAGGTCACATTCCCTGACTTTGCAGAACTGGCTGGGGGAACTGCTCATCTGCTCCCCACCCCACCCCTGCATCCATTCAGTGCTCAAGTGCTGCCTCCTCTTCATCCTCTTGAGGCTGGGTCCCAGAAGCGGTCCCAGAGACCAGGCTGGCGACTCTGCTGCTGGCCCACCTTGTCACTGCTGCCCCTGGCTCTCTGGCCCGGCAGGGGCCTCACATAGGCAGGAACGGACCCAAGCTGGATCCAGGTTGGACCCGGGACTCTGCCTCTCTCTTTATGGCTGGAGGTGTGACCGAACAGGGCACAGGCAATGATGGGAAGTGTCATGGGGCCTACTCAGGAAGGAATTTGATGAGGCTAGAGCCCGTCCATAGAGTTCCCATGTGTATATCGGTCAACAAGGAGCCCTGGAAAGTGGCCCTATTTTCAGAGAGGAACCTCTGTGGCTCCTTGGTGGTGAAGCCCAAGTTGAAAGGGCAGGGAAGTGTGGCCAGTGGCCCAGCCTTGCCCTCAGGTAAACAAACCACAGCTGGCAGGGGCCTGTTGTGGTTTGAGCAGTTCCTTTCTGAGAGCCAGTAAAGTGGGAACAGCTTGGCTCCAGACTGAGAAGTACAGATGGGACAGCAAGGGTGTGCCTCAGGGGTGCTTCCAGATAAGAACTTAGACTGCAGCTGGTGGAGGGATGATCTCCCACAAGAACCCCCCCAGTGGGGTCTGCCCTTGGTTCTCCACTGGGCATTTCTTGGAGGAGGTAGCTAAGAGACAGGCTGGAGTCTGCTGCTGGAGGCAGGAAATCTCAGCTCCAGCCACACCAGTCTGTACAACCACCCCTCGGCTCTTTCATCTGTAAAAGGTGCGTCCTTCAGATGACAGCCGGTAGAGTTGTGGCTTGTGATGTTTCTGTTTCAGACAGATGTCGTCAACACCATGTGTGGCTACAAAATGATCGACAAGGAGGTAATGGCTTGGAAACCTCTTGTCCACAGATAATGGTGTTTCCATTGTCCCATTCCCCAGCCGATGGAGGCTTTCTAGCGGAGGGCTCCTGGCTGCTCAGGTTTCCCAACTCTCCCAGGCCTTCAGTCACAGAGGGGCCCAGGGAGCCGGGGGAGGCCACCTGACTGGGTCTGCTGAGTGTAAACTCCAGGCACCATTCCCTCCCAGGGCCCTTCACATGCTGCCTGCCCAGCTCTGCAGTTCGTTGACAGCTCACACTTGTGCTGCCTGCATGGGACCCAGGAGTCCCAGGGGAAGAACAAGTCCTTCCTGGGTATCGCCCTGCATCTGTTTTCCGGGCAACTTCTCAGGAAGCTGGGGTGATGCTGAGGTGGGGGGTCTCTCTACATAGCCCCAGCTGATATGAAATTTCATAGTGTTGAACTCACGGAGATTCTCCTGCTTCTGCCTTCCGAGTGAATGCTAGAATTAAAGGCATTGTACCACCATGCCCAGTCGTGGGTTTTTTTCTTTTTTCTTTTTTAAATGACCCACTGGGTCCAATTAGTTCTGCCCATATATGTACGAGGGTGGGGCCATCCACTGGGACATGGGTAGCCTGCCAGAAGCCATACTCCTAAATGATGTCATTTTTTAATAATTTTGGGCATGAAGCAAAGTTTCATGATGAGGGATTTTTTCATTTGTGGAAAAATCTAACAGTAATTCTAGAAGCTTCATTGCACATTAGAACCATGTAGTTGTTGGGTTTTTGTTTGTTTGTTTGTTTTTCCACGTATACCTGGAGTTGGCTTTTGGCTCTGGTAATAGTGTGCATTGCTGGGTGGCATCTGGCAGGCATGTGGGCATGCTTTGCCATCCCCCAGTTCCCAGCAGTTCTGACCACCAAAGTGCTGCCACAATGTCCCCAGTGCTGTCTCAGGAGCAGTACTAGGAAACCCAGGGCCACTTTCCCGCGCTGACACCCTCCTCCCGCACAGCGCCTGAGTGCCCAGAATGTCATTCATGTCCGAGGCTGCACCAACGCAGTGCTGATATGGTTCATGGACAACTATACCATCATGGCAGGTCTCTTACTGGGCATCCTGCTTCCCCAGGTGGGTAGTCTGTGGGGACAGACAAAGCCAGGCTGGGTGGGTGATGAAGGTGGAAGTTTAGAGCCCCTGAGAGGGCTGGGGCCTGAAAGGAGAGGCAAATGGAGAAGCCTCAATTACTCACTCTGAACTGGCTCTGGCTTCAGGCCATCGGTGAGATGGGATTAGTTACCATGTCCACTTAGCGGGGGTGGGGGTGGAAACTGAAGCTTCAGAAGGTGAGGTGGCATTCCCAAGGTCCCCTGGATAAAGTGTGGCAGAGTTGGGGTGGAGGCAGAAGGCCCACGAAAGGGACCTTTGCTAGCGAGGCACATGGAAGTCTCCATGTTCCTAGAAGCCATAGAAGAGGCCCTGCCTAGGGCTGACTGGGCAGTGGGTGCTGGGATGTCCATGTGTCAGCAGGCTCTCACCTGCCCTCTCTCTGTCCTCAGTTCCTCGGTGTGTTGCTGACACTACTGTACATCACCCGAGTGGAAGACATTATCTTGGAGCACTCTGTCACTGATGGATTGCTGGGACCTGGTGCCAAGTCCAGCGAGGACACAGCGAGCACTGGGTGCTGTCTGTGTTATCCCAGTTAGGACCTGGTCCAGCCCAGCAGCCTCAGCAGGACTCTACTGCCCAGCATATCCCAGTCTATACAAGCCAGACAGGACCATCTCCAGCTCCTCTGCCCACTCGTGGCACTGACCGAAGCCCAGGGTGTATGTGCCTGGCTATAGTATCCGATGGCCACTCTTCACAGGGGAAGACTGAGCCCTGAGGAGCCCCGGGGAACAGGGATAGCCCAGCTGCAGTTCTGGGCCCCAGAGACGGAAGCTCAGGGCTTAGTACGGGCTCAGTTTATTTCTCGAAGTGCCTTGGCCAGGGGTCATTATGCCCCTTCAAGAGAAGTTTTGCAGTGATTTTTGAGGAGAGAGGAGAATGTGTTTGTTCCACAGGGCAGGAAGTGCTGGGTTCAGCCCCCGGCACCACTGCTCCAGATGTGCAGTTGGACCATGTCTCAAATTTCCAGGTGCCTTGAGCCCTCTGTAAGGCTCCTGCATTGCCCACCCATTTTCTACGTGGTTTTTTAAATATATATATAACATTAATGTTTTGTACACAATTAACAAGAGTTTCTGGCTACTCAACACTAGCCACCACCACCCCAGTCCACTCCTCCTTCCCAGGCGGTTCATTAATCAAACAATAAAGATGCGATTTTTTGGGGAGGGCGGTCTTTCGTTTGAGTTATTTGAAAGTTTCTTGTTGGTGCGGGGGTTGAAGGAGAGCTGCCCTGGAGTGAAGATAGGTATAACTTGGGCCACCGAGGCCACGGAAGCAGCATGTGCAGCACTAGTATTTCACACACTAGGGGAAACTGAGGCTGAATGGTAAGACATAAAGCTCCATAGGCAGAGAAATGGTCTTACGGAGAAGTAACTGAACCTAAGGCTCAGGAAGGAGAGCGGTGTCCACAAGTCTACCCCAGTTACAGAAAAACCGCCGGTAAGGAATCTGCAGATTGTATTCAGGGACCCATGCCAAGCAAAGCTTGGTGCTGGTTGCCCCCTGCTGGAAACAGCAGGCCTTGCAGGAAGAGTCCACCCAAGTGTGTGTCACCCCAACCCCCACCTGGGTTGGAGGTTTTTTTTGTGAGGTTCCTAGTAGATAAGTCAATAGAAATAAAACAAGAGTCTGAATGGTATGAGGAAGGGCAGGGGTGGAACTTTTTGGGTTTTTTTTTTTTTTTTTGGTTTTTTTGAGACAGGGTTTCTCTGTGGCTTTGGAGGTGGCCCTGGAACTAGCTCTTGTAGACCAGGCTGGTCTCGAACTCACAGAGATCTGCCTGCCTCTGCCTCCCGAGTGCTGGGATTAAAGGCATGCGCCCGGCTCAGGGGTGGGACTTTTAAAAGAGTGCTATGACTACATCACAGAGGCCACCTGAGGCCAGGCCTAAACACCTAGAATATGTGGTAACACCTCTAAGGCTCACAGTTGTTTGTACTCCTTCCTGTTACCTTAGTTTTGTTGATAGGGAAACAGGCAGAGTGGTTAAGTAAATTGCCAAGACATGGCACTGCTCACATAGCACTTCTGCTTGAATTGGGTCTGTCCGTAGACTCCCCTCAGTGTGCAAAACCATGCATGGCGGGACTGCTCCTCCAAACTCACTATGGAGGCTTCTGTCCATCCCCCTGTGGTTGTTGAGATAGGGTCTCATGCAGTCCAGGCTGGCCTCAAACTCACTGTGTAGCCGAGGCTGACCTTAAACTTCAGACCCTAGTGCTTCACCCTCATGAATGCTGGGGTCACAGCCTTGCACCACCACACCCCGTTTATGGAATGCTGGGTCTGAAGGCTCTATACCCTTGGCCCCAGTGAGCCCCTTTGACATGGACACAGGGCTGGCTGGTAAGCCTTCTAGCTCTGGTTGCTCTCAGAATTCTTCTGTGCCCAGAGGAGAGGGCAGAGATCTGTGGCCCAGCAACGTGGCCGGGACATGCAGAGGGGGGTTGGGACTACTCTGGAGCCTACTTTTAAAAGCTTGCTACTTCACAGCCCTGAGCCTGGTGACTCTTTCGTCATTTCCTCTTTCTGCCCACCCAGGCCTGAGTTCCCACCTGCTCTCTGACTTCCAAACCTGTCTAGTCCATCTCAAGAAAATGCATGCAGAGAGAGCTTTGCCAGCCAGTCTCAGAGGGCCCCCTGCTATGGCACTTTTCTGTGACCCAATGTCGAGGGCATTGTTTTGCTGCCTTGTCTCCCAAGACTGGTCCCTAACCCACCCACATTGGCTCCAGTTTTGAAGATTTTTTTGTTTCAGTTTATTTGTTTTTGAGATGTAAATCGGCTTCTCTGTATAGCGCTGGCTATCCTGGAACTCACTCTGTAGACCAGGTTAACCTCAGACACAGGAATTCACCTGTCTCTACCTCCTGAGTGCTGAGATTAAAGGCGTGTACCACCACTGTCCAGCAGTTTTGAAGATTTTTGTTACAAGGAGAATGCATTTGTGAATGCTAACAGTTATGTTTCAAACCTGGGATGGAATGGCCGAGGTACCTACTTAATGTATCAAAGCAGTCGCTGGCCGCCAGGTTCTCCCAGCTCTCTCAGCCCCTCCCTCTTCCATGGTCCTCCTGTCTTGCTTATCTGCCCCTTACCCTAAACTTCTCCAGTCCAGGTCACTGGCTTCATGTGAAAATTCCAAAAATACTACTCTGGAAACTTCTTTTTGAAGTATACACGAGAAAAATACTAATTTGTCAGGTTTGGGGCATGTGCACCTGCAATCCAGCACTCAGGAAGCTGAGGCAGAAGGATTGTGTTCAAAACAAAACACTGATGTAGTATTGTCCCTTATCCCCGTCACCCCTTTTGCCTTTCCTTCTGTGGGCCAAAATAAACCTTTTATTAAATTGCTTCTGCCAGGTGTGTTGTCATAGCAATGAAGAAAATACCTGAGATAGGACTCCAGTGTTTAAAGAGGCACACATGGAGCCCACAAAAAGTATCAGAGCAATTTAAGATGGTAAGCGTGACCATTGCTCTAAAGAACTTCCTCCTAATACCTTCATGCTAGCCCTCCCCAGCAATGCTGCTCCCCCACCCCCCTTAGGCACCCCCTTTCTGCTATCTGTCTCTGTGTGTCAGTTTGTCTTTTTGGAATCTGTCTATTTTCATATAACACAATTATTTTGAAAGTCACTCATTTCTCTAAATGAGTTGTGTTCCACTGTTATGGACATGCCATTGTTAATTTGTGCATTTGCCAATCAATGAACTTTCTTTTTTCTTTCTTTTTTGAGACAGTCTCATTATGTAGCCCTGGCTGGTCTGGAACTCACTGTGTAGACCAGGCTGGCCTCAAATTTCACAGAGATGCACCTGAGATTAGAGGTGTATGCTGCTGTGTTCAGCAACAACTTTATTTTGTTATTGCAAAACTCTGAACATTTGCACATCTTTGCAAAAGCATGTGTCTGGGTTGGCAAGAAAGCTCTGTAGTTAAGGGCACTTGCTTGCTGTCAAGATTGATGACCTAGCCGGGCGGGCGTTGGTGGCACACACCTTTAATCCCAGCACTCAGGAGGCAGAAGCAGGCGATGTCTGTGAGTTCGAGGCTAGCCTGGTCTCCAGAGCGAGTGCCAGGATAGGCTCCAAAGCTACACAGAGAAACCCTGTCTCGAAAAACAAAAAAACAAAAAAACAAAAAAACAAAAACAAAAAAAAAGATTGATGACCCTAAGTTCAATCACTGGAGTCCACATAACAGAAGAGAGCCAGTTCCTGCAAGTTGTCCTCTGACTTCTATATCTGTTCCATGGCACAAATGTCCACATATACGCATCACACATATGCACACATACAGGCTAATAATAAGTATTTGAACAGGACCTTTTTATATTACTGAATTTGGAGAACTATATAAGCCCTTTATTGCATATGTATAATATGCAAATGTTTTTCCCCAATCTTAGTGTTTAGGAGCACTGGCTGTTCTTGCAGAGAAATCAAGTTCAGTTTCCTGTACCCACATAGTGGTTCATAGCTGTCTGCAACTCGTTTCAGGGGATCCAGCATTCTGGTCTCTGCAGGCACCTACCTGAACATATGTGGTGTACATAAAGATTAGCAGGCACACTCACATAAATGAAAATAACAAGTCGTCCCACGTGGCACATGCCTGCTGTCCCAGCTACTTGTGAGCCTGAGGCAGGAGGAGTGCTGGAGTTTCGGACCAGCCAGGGTATTATAGAGGCTCTGCCTCTTAAGACAAAGAAGAGTACCCTTGTGAGTGAATGTCCTCTCAGCCAGTCAGCCGTGGTCTGGAGAAGTGCTGTGCCTCCTTGCAAAACAACCATCCTAGGTGGGCTTGTTGACTGCTTATGTCCCCAATGGAGCGGTGGGAGAGGATCGGGAGAATCTCACCTGAGTACCCAGCCACCGCCTACCACCTGCTGCATGCAACTCTGTTTTAATTGCAAATGGCCTCTGGAAGTGGTTTGGGTATCTAGGCTGGGGACTGGAGCCCCATCCGTGCAGCTACGGGTAACTCATCATCCCTGCTGAGTGAAGGTTTTCCAGGCGCTGTCTTGGGGTGGGGAGCACCCATATTCATGTAAGGAACCCCTCACCTATGCTCTGAAAGAACGCCCGATAAACTCACTGCTTCCCCGGAGTGAACTTTGGTGGAATGGTGCCTTGGTTTGTTCTTGCCACCTTAGGAGAAGGGTTAGAAGTTACTTATGTGTCCCTCTGGGGAGGAATTTTAGAGACAGCCTTCATGCGAACTCCCCTGTACTTAAAGTAGCGCGTGCATCAGTACTCTACAATCATGCCTGTGAGCCCCTAGGGGGAGCCAGAGTTGCAGTCTGGAGAGCCCAGGAAGGCAGAAGGCACAAACAAACGTAAACAGCAGCAATGGAAGCATAAAGCCATTAGGTGGCGCTGTCTCCGAATGCCCAGCGCTCTGCAACTGTGCTTCCCCAGAGGCTAAGCTTCATTGAGGGATGAGGTGGGGAGATCAGTGTGTCCCCCACCTCCTCACCCCAAAGGGCAGCCGCAGGTGATGTAGGCTAAAACCACCCCAGTC